GGGCTCCCTGGACCTTTCAGGATTTGGGTTTCTTAGGCTGGCGTGTGGCACCGCTGTCAATCAGTACGCATATCCATAAGTGTGTGAAACTAGTCAACATTTGGTGCTGCAAGTTGGATCGTGGCCTCTGCGCTCCTTTAGCCGAACAAGCCGAGTTTTTGGCAGGACCTGAGGTGGAGCAATGGTGCAGCTGCAGGTGAGTGCAGAATGAAGCGTTTGTGATGGCAAACTTGGGGGCGTCATTTCGACCAACCAGTGCTGGCAATGCTGGCAATCTTGCATATCCAGCGCGGCCAGAAGTTGCAGTCTTATATTTTTATACTTGGATGCACAAATTGCATGCTATTGCCTGGTCAACGACAACGACTGCTGTTGCCTGCCTTGACGTAGTTTGACAGTTCATCTTGCAAACGGGCCCTGCGTGGGGACTGCAATGGGATTCCTAGCAGTCCCTCATGTTGGGATGTCATCAAAAAGGTGTGTTCATGTTTGTTCGGCAATTCTGGGAAACTTAGAAAGTTGAATTAGAACAAGTTACATTGTGAAGAATGGCTTGTGCAATCAACTGGAAAATAGCTCAGAAGTCTGTGTTCGACGTGGCAAGAATAAAAATAGTGCTTAGCGGTGAGGTGTCTTCACTCTTTGGTGCCTCGAAATTCTGTTCGGTTCTTCAAGTGGCAACACGTTTGGGAAGCAGTTGAATTCACAAATCAAAAAGTAGGCGGTGAGTGGTGAGCAAGCTTGCCACATCGAAGAGAAACAGTTTGTTTGGCAACTTTTTCTACCTTTTCTCTGCGCGCCTAGCTCTTGTCAGCTCAAGCTCTGGTCCAAGGCGCCAATGCACACCCAGCCTGTACAATACAAGCCTTGCTTCGTAGCCATTTGTTGAAGCAGGAGTCAAAGTCAAAGCGATCCTTTCAGGCGCAAATTGCACAAATCTGCAATAATCCCCCTGGCTCATGCGGAGGAGTCGAAGGCCTCACGAATCAAATGCCAAGATTCCTTTCAAATGCTGTGCTGACCCAAAGAGTGCAAAGGGCGGATGCCAGCGGAAAGGGAATGAAATAATCTCAGAGATACACTATATACATCCCCTGTGGGCGTTGGGTTGGTGTTTTGTCGGTCATTTTATACAGAAATAGGTGGTCTAAATGGGTGTCAAGACATACATCTCTATAAACATGAACACCCGCTCGCACTATAAAATGAAATTCCACTTACACAATGCCAAGACCATGAAGTTAGAACCCCCCCAATCCTCTGTCTATAAAATGCTTTCTGGAATATGCCATTCCAGATCCAGAATTCCACAGTCTCCACACCATGTCTTGTATAAAGTGGTGTCAAAACATCCCCGTGAGTAATGCCCCACAGCAGTCACTATAAAATGAAGATCTGAAACCCATTTAATAGATATCAAATGATCTGCATTTTGTAGGGCATCACCCGCAGGGGATCTATATACCACATCTCAGTACAGTCTTGACACGTGACAACTAACAAGCCTGGTTCCGCCGCTCGCATTGGTGCTCTTTTTGTGCTCTTGGCAAGCTCACGCAGTTCAGTGGACACGACTCCAGTCTTTGCAGCTTGGCCATGTCACGGTGCTTGGGGCCGCTTTGCAGAATAATTTGGGCGAGCATGATTGACAGCAGAACTGCGACCAGAAAAATGCAGCAACCACGATTGGCAAGAAAACTGAACCAGCTTCGAAACAAACTGAGAAGCGCCAAAACGCCAACCAGATCTGTGCAGTCATAGCGTCGTTTAGAAAGGCTCACAGCAAGCCAGGGCGTGATCATTGTCATGCGAACGGTGCAAATGGAAGTTGCTACCTAAAATCCTACAGCATCAGCACTACATGATTCTTGGATTCAAAAACCGAGGAGCTCAGGCCTGGACAAGAGAAAAACATACAAAACAAACATTGGACTTCTTCAAGCTAAGAATCGGAGGGTTCTGTGTAAGCTTCAAGCCTCTGGTTTGAGCATGGCAGCTGGTCCCACATTCTTACCTTGGGGTGGGTAAGCTGTAGCAGGGCAGCTCCTGCAAGCTCCTGCAATGACAAAGTATCTCCAAAGTTTGTACTTTTTTGTTTCCCAAAGAGGCAAAGGTAGGACAGGGAGGGTCCCATTCTCAAATTCTCTACAGACTCTACAAACTTGGTCAGACTGCTGGGCATACACATTGACATAACAAAATCGCAATGGCTCCAATGATTGGAAGAGTATTTTATATGGTTGCGGCATGCCCCCCGGAGCTTGCAGCATAGTTGGGCAAGCACTGTTGAACTGATCAGTCATTAATTTTCACCTGTCTAGGAGCAAGGATGCTACTAGGGGCTCCTGGCCCTACTATATACTAGGAACAAGAAGCCATTGGGGGCTCCTGGCATCGCTACTAGGAGCAAGGATGCTACTAGGGAATCCGGCCGTGTGAGCTCGATGCGGGCATGTTGTCATGCATTTGACCTCCAAGTAGCCACACCTCAAATGCCTTCGCCTGCAACCGATACCAGGCCATACCTATACCTGTTTACATTGACAAAAGCCACGTATTTCTGGGAAAACAATTGTCGAATTTAAGCCTCCTCCTGGGTTAACCGTGCGGTAGCTATCAAGCGAGGTGCTACTGTGTGATGCACTAGGCCAGCATAGATTGTCTGAAAACTCTGCCAGGACAGGTGCTGAAGAGAGCCTACCCTTCGTCAACGAACACAACAAATCTCACAAGTCCACCAACATTGTGTGTTGAGCACATCTTGCTTCAACTTGCAAAAAGTAGCACTCTGAACCAGCAGTCTGTCTGAACATCTGGCAGCTACGCAAAACGTGCATGTTCAGGCTGCATTAAGATTGAAGGAGCTGGCTTTTGGCTTCTCTCCGGGTCCAACCACAAATTTGATTATTCACTTCCAAGAGCCCAAAGCAAGGAGGACATCCTACAGCATTTCCGCTGCAAATGGTCCAAAGGAGTCCAAAAGCCAAGCAAACACTTCAAAATATGCCACACGGGATGCCTTGAACTTGCAGGATGAAAAAGGGAGAGAAGAGTCGAAAAGAGATGATCTTCTCATGACTCATAACTATGATGCAAAGATGAAGGGAGAATCAGTATTGGGAGGCGCGCGGCTGAGGTTAGTTTTGGCTTTTTGACTCAGTTCCAACCTCTCTTCCAACCTAGCATTACCAGTCACGACGCAAACCACGGTCGTTTTGCACTATCAGAACAATTAAGAAGCACTAGCAAGTTGCCCTTCTTCTCAGCCGCTGAGCGGAAAACCAATACTGCGCCATAATTCTTCGGACCATGAATGGCCGAGATGGAAACTTAGTTCCATGTTAAAAGACTTGCGTACTTCCTTTGATGCCACCACATCACAAGCGGAAGACCCAGGCTCCATCCTGGAGGGCCATGGGGATTCCGGAATGTGCCCCAAGCACCTGGCATTGAGCGTGGTGTGGAGATCACACAGCTTTCTGCAAACATTTACCCCACACTACCGGTATGTATGCGTGTGTGTGGGTGTGTGTGTGTCAACCTCTGTTACTAAGAGTTCCTTTCCCTTTTGTTTTCGTGCATATGCAGGGGGCCAGCGGCCGACAAGCAAACGCTGGCTAACAAAGCTATGCTTGTTCGGTGGATGCACAGCCTGATCAGCTGTGTGTACCTGCGGCTAACTTTTGATCAAGCTGTCCCAATCTTCCCTTTTTTGATTCCATGGTGGTTCATGATACTTCCCACAAACTTTCTCCCCACCGCCACTTTTCAGCCGCTTCGCAGCCGCGCTGAGTGTCAAATCGTTTTTCGAGTGCAATTGCAAACATTGTTCAACCATACTGTTCTCGCTGACCCTCTCACCTTGCCGTTCCATGGCCATTTTTCCTGGGAATTGAGTTAACTGAAAACCAATGTCAGAGTGTGACTCGCTCAGTCGTCCCACTTGGGTGCTGGGTGTGATCCTCCGCAAGGAGGCGCTGTTCTCATGCATGCCGGAAATCGTGTAACTGCTTCCCCTTTTTCCACCAAACCTTGGATTCTCTTGACCGCTTCCTTTCACTACTGGATCGACTGCCTCAACAGCCGCCGGGCTTGTACGGACAGAAATCTTCGTTTGCATGACTATGTGTGTTTTTGCAGCTCGCTTTGACTTTCAACAGTGTACAGTGCCCTATTTTCCACCCCAATCGATGTGCGATCAGACATATCCTAATTCACCATCTTTGTCACGAGTCTATTCAACTGCATGCAGCTCTCTCATTTCAATTTTCGACCTTTTCATTTCTTTCTTTTCAGCTGCGGAACCGCTGCGCTGGCGCCATCCCTGCAGCTGCTTCAGCCGACAGTCAAGCCAGGCCCTGTCGAGATGCAATTTCCATGGCCGTACCCATATTCGCCACTCCCTCAGCGACGCCTTTCCATCCTGTTCCACAACATTTACCTCCAATGATATCACATTTCCCACAGCCAACCATACCACCACAGCCGGCATGGCCACCTCAGTTTCAACCAACACACTTGCCACCTCCACATTCCCATCCTACCTTTCCTGTTGCCTACACTTTAGCCCCACCGGAACCTATGACCACGCCAAATTCCTCTCCATCCGCTGCCGTACTACCGCAACCTGATCCAGTATCTTTCACTCCAGCGCCCACCCACCCTGCATCACTCACCACCACTCTGTCGTGGGACCCCATCAGGGAGTCTGGCAACAGCAACCCTTCTCAGCTTTCCCGCCAGTCTCACAACCTGGTCAACTGACCGCCACTGACAAAGACCCACGCCCATTGTGGCTCCAACGCCCATTGCTGCGGCACCAGTGTTGCCATCATCGGCATCACCAATTCCACCGCTCCTCCGGGTCTTCCTTCCCAACCCTCCACAGAAGGTATTACTGATCCAAACCAGCCACCGTGAACCGCCCTAAACTCCAGCAGGATCAATACGATCCGACGCAGCAGACACCACACACCTCACAGACCCTCCACCATCTCACTCAGCACCCAGGCGACATCAACGTCACCGTCAGCACGGCCGAAGACGCCGACGACATCACCACCGCACAGGCCGTTCGAGAGGCCGCACTACACATCGGACACCACGCAGCACTCACCACCACACATCCTCACGCCGTCACCGCTCCTCTTCCTATATATCTCCTACTCCTACTCACGCAGTCCTTCACCATCCCGCAGCCGCCAGCCATTTCCTTGATACCCAACACAGATTGTCTACAGCAAGACTCTACCTCGAGCCATCCACAAACCACATACCCTACACACCCTTCCGTCCGCGGAGTCCTCAACAAATGGCAAGCTCCACCACTTTTCCATCAAAAACTCCACAAGAACAACTTGAGATTTGGATGGACTGTCGTGCTGCGCAATTCGACACGCCCAACAAACCTCATCACACCTACATTGCCCGCCTCCTGTTGGACAGCGGCCTCACTTACCAAGATGTATGCGACTACCGACAATTCACCCACATGAAAAGGAATCCAACAACCAACCAATACGACCTTTTCCACTTCAACCACATTTCCATTCCCTCCCTATCACAGAAAGCACACCGCCGCTTCCCACCCGCTGCCGCTCGAGCCACCTCCACATCACCTGAAATTGTCCATATCAACGCCAGTCACACCGGCCCAGTCGGCAACATTCCTTCCCAGCACCGCGCATTTCCCTCACAACCCTGGGTTCTTTGCGCAAGGCGTGCGCGTAACCCAACAGTTCCAGCGTGACACCAGCGAACAAGCGCGCATTTTCTACAACACCTGGAACATGGCCAAGAACACACACTCCGTGCTGGTTTCCCTCCTAGCATGGGGGGCTGGCACAAAATTCACCCACGGCGGAGAAGAACACGCTATCACTCGACTCTACTCCAGCAAAACCATGGAGCGTGCCACCACAAAGCCAAGTGTTGGGTTACCCACGCAATGCCACAGTGAAAGGCCTTGCCTGGTCGGC